TCGAATTAATTTGATGGCCTGCTCCCAGTTGGCTTGTTAGCTCAATTGGTAGAGCGCTGCACTAGTATCGCAGAGGTCAGTGGTTCGAATCCCGTACAGGCCTGAAATTTTTTTCAGGTCTGATTTTCACTATTGCTCAAATAGTGCTTTACTGCGAAGGATCGTGCTCATATACATTATTATTATTATTATTATTATTATTATTATTATTACTATTATTTGTGCATTAGTAGGTGCAAATTTGTCCGTGTGTGAAGAGATCTCATGACACATGGAATCTTTAAAGAAGAAGCAAGACGAGAGTGACTTGGAAATCTTTCGGGACAAAAAGCTTTGCTCCAAACAGTTCTTGATACGCTGTTAGAAGCGAAAAACATACGAATTTCCGTACGGGTTCGAAACCCATGCAGTAGTATTCATTTTGTCTAGATCGTTGTTTACTTGGCAGAAGCGTTAGCGTCATATTGAAAATTCTAAGAGTTTTACGCTTTGACACAAAATCATCCGTAAGCAGTCCAGCTAAATTTTTGCCTTGCCCTGCGAACCGTAAAGAAATATCCGCGAAATTCGCCCGCACTGAAATAACGATTTGGCGTGTTGGATAATAAGTTTCTTATTAAAAGTTTGTTGTGTGTTATCGCTGCATATTTTAAAAGTTGTGCCGTATTTTGACTTGCCCTTTGGGCTCGTCAAAATACGGCACTACTCGTAAAATACTGAGCGATACTACACAACATAACGTTTAATACGATCTATGTAATTCACTGATCGCGTAGTTTTACCATGGGTTTGAATCGATTAATGGACAGCCGGAAGTAAATTGACGACTTGCGCTTGAATAAATTGGTCGTTTCCTCTGTTTGTAAGCCATATAATGAACTACCAAAAAAAGCCTAGACCGTTTGGTCGTTACTTAGTTCTTACTAACTGAGCGGGAGGTCTGTATGGGAGAATCTTGACCGATGTCGCCAGCACAGACCGAGGTCAAGATTCTCCCATACAGACCGGCATAGCTCGGTTAATAAGATGTTTATTATATGGCTGTGTCTTATATGCCAATCTTTTATAATTTTTTGTACCTTTTTTTCTAGATCGGTCTAGATGCCGGCTTAGATGGGAAAATCTAGAACGCTTTCAACATTAGTTTTAGCCAATCAAATTCGGGAATTCGGTAGTTCCCAGTCGTTGTGAGACACAGCCATATAATAAAGGAAAATATTAACGAGCGAAAGGCGAAGAGTCCCTGGTATTTAGAATATTTTAAAATTCGAAAAGATTGAGCCCAAGCAGTTTCTGAAAAGCTAGTTTGAGACTGAATCTGATGCTAAAAGATGAACAATCTCATTCATTCTGTATGAGTATAATATGGCCATCGTCATAAAACAGAGGGACCGCCTTGCGACACCTTTGTACACAAAAGAAATTGGTTGATTGAAATTTTTAAACGGAACCAAATCATATTCATGAAAGTTTCCCATAATTTTATGATATTCGGCTTCGAAATAAACTTGAAGAGCCATGTTCTTTTGTAAGCTACTATCATCAGATATCTTTACTGACAGACAAACCAGCGTTTGCGATGTAAAGTTTAAAAAATTCGTAAAATAGTGTGAACTGACGAGCTACCTTCAACACTCATGGCGTTCGTGAAAATGTGCGGGATTCATAGGCCCTTTCTTTCCTGTATGTAAAGCTTTAGATTTTGTGTGATCTTTTCGATGCCATTTATCTTAGTCAATATCAGGGGGGGTTTAGAAATGGGTGTCTTTCACCGTCGGTCATGAACTCTGTCTAATAAACTAAGAAGAAGGTTGCGATTACAGTATGTTTAGTTCGGTTGTTCAATGGAAAGGTGTTCGAATCTTCTCTAGAACTGAGCTTAGCAGACATATTTTTTCAATGCAAATATTTGGTTCTGTGCAGTTTTTTTTGAAAACGCTCGAGGTTCTAATAGGCGTAACTTAAAAGTTCTTCGTAAGTAAATTGAAAACGGCCGAGTTATGAACATGGTGCAATCAAACTCTGAAAAACTGCGTTTTTTTGAAAAGAGAACTGCATCGTGTTAAGAAATTTGTCAACGCCATGCAGGAGGATATATTTTATCTTACATGTATTGAACCCATAACCTCTGCTTTACCCGTGGAGGGCTCTACCAACTGAGTTAACAAGCCAATTGGGAGCTCTTCAACATGTTGGTTCGTATTAAACCCGTCAAAGTGATGAATTAATGAATTTGAATGTATGAAAATCATATATGTGTTCTGCGGTTTCAAGAAATGTATATAAGCGATCCTCGCAGTAATGAACCCTACTTATGTAGCAGTGATAATAAGGCCTGAAAAAAAAAAAAACAGCTCCCAGTTGGGTTGTTAGCTCAGTTGGTAGAGCACTGCACCGTTATAGAAGAGGACATGAGTTCAATACATTTAAGATAATATATATCCTCTTAGTAACGTTATTTCTTAAAGAAATTAATAAAAAATAAATGGAAAGAAAGTTGAAAAATTTCAAATTCTATTGAATTTATGCCCCATTTAGTTTCAGACTAACAACGTGTCTCTTAAAAGGCTAAATTTTTTTCTCTTTAGAAACAAGTTCGAATACATCAAACTCGCAGTTAAACTCTTCTGGCTGAGCGAAATGTTTCTTAAAATTCATTTGACAGAAGCAGGTTATCGTGAAGATACTAGAAGTTAATGGAGTCTTAATTAAAAAACGAGTATCCAGCGGAAGCTAGGGGAGTCTCATTTGATCGGCCCTCTCTAAAAGCGTATACGATTCTCGCAAAACGACGCTGACCGCAAGACGCCTTTTAATATTGAAACTGTGTGCTGTCATAAAGGTTTATAAAGGTGCGGTTTTTCTTTTAGGATAACGGATATAAGGAGTTAACAGGAATGGCGCAAGAAGGAAAAGGACAGGAGTTCAACGAACAAGAGAGGCGTAGTATGGAATTCATAGAGAACCTATCAAAAATAGGATGGCCCGAGAAAGATGATGACGATTGTGTACGTTCGCAACCGAGCACGCTCTGGACCATGATAAAAGCCGTAAATGTGAGTAAAAAATTACGATATTATTATACTAGTTAATGATGCTATAGTTAATTTATTGTCATCATGGTAATATATACATCGTATTCGATAATTTAACATATAATGTCTCTCATATATTGCGCGTAAGCTATGATTGATCAATCTAGCGGGCCGCATTTCATTGCACGGCCCGCTAAATTCAAAAGTTTGTTTTCAATGGCTTAAATTTCTCTTGAAGAAAACTTTGCAACACATTTAAAGGAAAAGTATGCAAACGAACAAAACTCAGATACAGATATTCCAAACTTTCGAGTTGGTTCCTTAGAGATTTTGGAGGGAGGCAAGCGATAAATAGAGAAAGACGACTACGACATAGATGACTATCGAGAACACGATGATTTAATTACCGTCGAATGGTCGTCAAATACAGCAAAAAAAGACAAAATACGGGGGGGGGGAGTTGGAAGTGTTTTGCGAACAGCAGGTTGATCGAAGTTTTAATGTAATGAACATATCTGCTGCTGCTCTCCACAAGCTCTTCAAAGATTTGTAGTTCTGTACTTTTCTTTTTTTTTTTTAAGGGTAACACCGTGCCTTTTTTGCGCGTTGTCATGACCCTATTTGGTAAAATGGTGTAGTAGTAGGAGCAATAAAATGTAAATAAACTTTCCAAATGTAAATATGGACTTCCTCCATTTTCATTATGTTTTGATTTGCTCACTCGTAGTTTAAAAAGGACCGTTCCAAAAACATTGCTATCGTTCAAGCCTCTTTCACATCGAAGAATTCATCTGGAGCCAGTTACACGGAGCGTTCAACTTCCATGCCTTCTATGAGATCTGGGAGAAGAGCTCACGGTGTGCTAAATCAGTTGATAAGGCAGATTCAAGGAGTGAAGGGTGGAGTTGATTTAGAGCCCGAGGAAAAGCGATTACTACAAGGATTTGTCGAAAATATAGAAAAACATTTTGGATTTAAATTCAGGGCCTCTGAACTAAAGATTCATGGATATACAAACAAGCAACAAATGGACGATGATATACGCTGCTGGAGGGGTAAAATCGATGCCATTGGTGTCATGAAGAATGGTACAGTCATAATTGTCGATTGGATAGTGCCCCGTGATGAAAATCATAAGTTTTGGGATGAAGCAACAAAATTCTCGAGAAAACTTCATCAAACGATGATTTACAGGGAGATAATCAGAGCTCAATGGAAAGATTCCTATAAATGTGAAAAGGATATTCCGACAGTTGGCATCTTGATTGTGCCTATATCAACCAAAGGCAGCGATCCACGTTGTTGTCTTGATTTTGAAAAGCTCCGAAAGGCTGGATTTTTTGATGACATAGATGGATTGACCTGGACAGCACAGAAGCCGAGAAAAACAGATAAGGTAAGGTTGCGTCAATGCTCTTTGGAATGTCAAACTGCGTCTCAGGAATTGCAATATGTTTTAACAAGATAGATGATATATACTCCCTGTTACTACATATTAAGCGCATTGCAAACGCTTGGGATTTGACACCAACATTGCTTCAGCGGTGTAAAAGAGCAGTTTATAATGCTCTCTGAATCCCAAAGATGTCCATAAACAGTTCATAAAGATTCGCGTGTTTACTCAGTTTTGAGCGTCTGCTTTTCTAAGTAGATTGACTTAGATTGAATTATAGACGATACTTTTCACCTCCTCTCTCGGAGTACCATTTTCTCAATTTCTACTCATGACCAGGCCCTTACAGATTGTAAAGGTAGTAAAGGTAGAATATCTTGCCACTAGCATCGTTGGATTTTTTTCCAAATTGTACTCAAAATTACGCCCGTTTTTGAAAATTTTGGTACTCTATGTTAAAGGACGATTTTCAAAGAAGAAACATCACGAGTCTAAATGGCAAATTTGCGGTTAATAAAGCATGATATGTTTTTTTATATGGATTTCAGACTTGCTTTGATAAAAGACAATTAACTACCGCACTTGATTTCAGACTAAGAGCGGTGACTTTATGTGTCAAAATGTGCGAACTTAATTTTTCTATGGGTTTACCAGTGTAATCAGCTTTTTAACTAACCAGGGTGCTCGTAGAATCTCAGTCATTTTATAACTACTTCTGGCAACGAATTCGGTGACTCCTATCCTTATGAACCGGTTTTCGAGGCTCTTGGCGATTTCACAAGTTTGGGAAGGAAGTAAGTCATGCCTCTAGCCAGTGAGATTTCTAGAGATTTTCTTGTTAAGTCCGGTGATGTTGTCTTCACTATCAGAGAAAGGAACGAGAGCAAAATGTATGCTCGAGCGAAATTCTTATTTTTCTAGGTTTGTTTGGAATTGCGATGTGATAAGGTCAAAAAGAAGCTGTCTGAAGCTGTCTCGCAAAAAAGCCCACCTGATATCAGGTATGCTTCCTTGGCGAAGAAAGACTTGCCTCGGCTGCAATCGGTGTAAGAGAGTTTTCATATCTTACCTGCAGCAATATTTTGCTAAATATTAACTTATTTTTATTAATAATTTACCAACGAAAGAGTTATTGACCAATAATACGTCAATTTTTTTAACTACCGTACATATTGACACAATTAGGAACTTGTCGTTATTTACCGCCTGAGGGGGGAGGGGGGAGCGGGGAGAGTATCGGAAGATTACTATTGCGTCATGATAAAATTTACCTGATGCCCCTCTATGATCTTCCTACTCCCCCCTCATTGGGAATTAATTGATGGTTAATTTTTTTTGCAGTCACCCACCCCACCCTTTGTCATTATTCTGTTAGCGACTGGTCTCCCTATCATCTCCCCCGAAAACCATGTGTTTTAGTCAGCTTGTACTCACTAAGATTATTTTTGATCTATGTGAAAATGTTTATAAAAATGACTTTCATCATGGCACTAATACGAACTTGAACTGTTACTGACAGGTCAGAGATCATTAAACAAGAATCTACGATGAAAGCGGTAAGGGTAGAAGTTGTTAGTGTAGGTGGCAATTTGTACCCTCTCAAAATAACATATTTGAAGAATCTTTGGTCATCCAAAACTTCATCGCCTGTCCTTGTTACTTTTTCTTCGTTCGTTTGCATTTTTTTTTGCTTGAATAGATCCAATAGGGAGTGTCATAATTCCTCCCTACTCAGTTAAAAACGATACGCATAAATACCAGTTTTTCGAATCAGAAAGACAACAGGAATCACTGCCACCTTGACCGGAGGTCAGGTCCGAGTAACACAAACCTACTGTTCATCCCCCTCGATAACGATTGTTTTAAGAAAACTTACATTTGTAAAGGGGTCACTGAGGTTTATCATTATTATTATTATCATTTAAAAAAGAAAGTTGCTGCAAAGAAAGTTGTTTCTTTGTTAGGAAGAAGTACATTCATGTAAGCCCAAGACGCTTGTTGGTGACTGTGGTAACAAAATGAAGTCGATCCTTGAACGCCCTATCCTTCCCTATGTAGAGGAGATCAAACAAGTGCAAAAACCTATTGCAGTCAAACAGGAAGAGCAAATAAGACAAATGCCCGATAGGCAACACCTTTCTGGGAGGACGCCGACAAATTCCTATCGTACTGCTGAGATGTACGGTAGTCAATTTTTTTAATCATTGAGCCAATTCGAGACCTGCCGTTATTTACCGCCTGAGGGGGGAGGGGGCAGGGGATCATAAGATTGATCATATTGTGTCATGATAAAATTTACTTGATCCTCCTCTGTAATATTCTTATGATCCCTCCATCATTAGGAACTAATTGAGAGTTAGTTTTTTATAGCCACCTAAACCACCCTTTGTTTATACTCTCCCTATCATCCTCCTAAAAACCATGTGATGCACTCTTAAGCCCCCACCCTAGTAAAAGCTAGTCCTGTTAAAAGACCAAGGGAAGGGGTTCCTTATCCAAGGTGTAATATACAAGGTAGGTGGACTGTTATTGTTAGCTTGTACTTGGTTAAGTTACAAAGCGTCCAGGTCTTGAATAATGTTTTGATCTACGCAAAAAATTGCATCATGGTACTAATACGAACCTGAAATGTTACTGACAGGTCAGAGATCATTAAACAAGAATCTACAGTCAAAGCGGAAAGGGTAGAAGTTGTAAGTATAGGTGGCAATCTGTACCCCCTCAAAATAACAGGTTTGAAGAATCTTTGGTCATCCAAGACTTCAGTGCCTGCCTTTGTTATATTTTTTTGCTCGTTTGCCTTTTTTTGCTTGAATAGATCCAATAGGGAGTGGCATAATTCTTTCCTACTCGGTTAAAAAATGATACGCAAAATTTCCAGTTTTTCGAATCATTAAAAAGCAGGAATCACCATCACTTTGATCGGAGGTCAGGTCTGAGTAACACAAACCTTCTGTCCATCCCCCTCAATAAGAATTGTTTTAAGAAAACTTACATTCGTAAATGGGGTCACCGAGTTTCATCATTATCATTATTTAAAGAAGAAAATTGCTGTAAAGAAAGTCGTTTCTTCGTTAGAAAGAAGAAGATTATTCACGCAAGCACAAGACGCCTGATGGTGACTGTGGTAAGAGAATGAAGTCGATCCTTCAACCCCCTATCCCTCCATACGTAGAGGAGATCAAAGAAGTGCGAAACCCTATTACAGTCAAGCAGGAAGAGCAAAGAAGACAAATGTTCGATTGGCAACATGTCTTTGGATGGACACCAGCAGATTCCAACCGTACCGATAAGATGTATGGTAGTCAATTTTTTTTTCATTGTTGAATCAATTCGAGACCTGCCGTTATTTACCGCCTGCGGGGGGAGGGAGGAGATCAGAAGATTGATATTGTGTCATATTAAAATTTATCTGATCTGATGAGAAAAATTTAAGATCTCCCTCTGAAATATTTTCATGATCCCCCCATCATTAGAAACTAATTGAGAGTTGATTTTTTATAGCCACCTACCCCACCACTTGTCTATATACCCCCAATCATCCCCCTGAAAACCATGTGATCCACCTATAATAACAATTTAGTGTTGTTAAAATGCCAGGGGAGGGGTTCCTTATACAAGGTGTACTATGCAATATAGGTGGACCGTTTTAGTTAACTTGTGCTAAATAAAGTTACAAAGCGTCCAAAACCTTGAATAATGTTTTGATCTCTGTGAAAATTTGCATCAAAATCACTTTCATCGTGGTACTAATACGAACCTGAACTGTTACTGACAGGTCAGAGATCATTAAACAAGAATCTACAGTCAAAGCGGTAAGGGTAGAAGTTGTAAGTAAAGGTGGCACTTTGTACCCCCCCCCAAAGTAACATATTTGAAAAATATTTGGCCATCTAAAACTTCATTGCCTGCCTTTGTTATTTTTTTTCGTTTGCATTTGTTTTGGTTTAGATACATCCAACAGGAAGTGCCATAATTCCTTCCTACTCAGTTAAAAAATATTGTGAAAAATTACCAATTTTTTGAATTACAAAAAACCAGGAATCGCTATCACTTTGATCGGAGGTCAGGTCTGAGTAACACAAACCTACTGTCCATCCCCTCAATAAGAATTGTTTTAAGAAAACTTACATTCGTTAATGGGGTCACTGAAATTTATGATGATTATTATTATTATTTGAAAAAAGAAAATTGCTACAAAGAAAGTTGTTTCTTCGTTAGGAAGGAGAAGATTATTTACGCAAGCACAAGACACTTGATGGCGACTGTGGTAACAAAATGAAGTCGATCTTTGAACCCCGTATCCCTCTTTACGTAGAGGAGATCAAAGAAGTGCGAAAACCTATTGCAGTCAAGCATGACGAGCCAATAAGACAAATGCCCGATTGGCAACACCTCTTTGGAAGGACGCCAAAAGATTCGTACCGTACCGCTGAGATGTGTGATACACGAAACGCTGCAGTAGGACACGTTACACAAATGCCTGATTTGCAACACTACATCGATATCGCAAGGACGCCAGTACATCGGTACTTTACCCCAGAAGAGGCACTACAGGCTCATTCCTCATATATACAATCTGGAATCTCTGCCGCCCAGATGGTCTACCGAGAATCAGCTGAGTTGAATGCCTATCATTTTATGGTAGAGTATCTTTTGAAGATTTATAAATCCTAACCTAAATCCGTTGATTACCTACCAATACTAACACCACAGGATTTTGCGGTGATGAAATTAAAACGATTGACTCGATATTACTCTCATTGAAAACCAATGCAACCTCTTGGTGCCCAAAATGTGGATTGCAAAGTCCTTAGCAATTATGCTTATGATCATTTTTTACACTATTCTAGACACGATCTACCCACCCAAGCTTAGTGAGTAATGTTTATTTCAATTCCGAACTCATATATGCGTCAGCTTATATCCCTAAAAATGAGTGCTTTTATCGATCGAAAGCTGAACTGTTCCTCGAATCTGTTTCATCTTCCCTTAGATAAAGATTGATTTTGTTTCGAAAGGGAAAGGGAGGAGATAAATTCCAAATTTCCAAACCGCCTCCCGGTTAGCTCAATTGGTTAGAACGCCGAATTGTCAGGTGCGGGAGGTCGAGGGTTCGAGCCCCGGCCGGACCAATACTCATGGTCTTAAAATAAGTGAGGAGAATTTGCTACCTTTCTATAATCAAGAAATGGATAGATATTCTAGTCTTCTCGGATAAAGACGAATAAACCGTAGGCCCCGTCTCCTGCAGGGTTAGGGGTAGGAGACGTTAATTTCCCACGCACGAGATTACTGTGT